GGTGGCGCGGGGCTGGGCCGCCGGGGGCCAGGCTGGGCGCCAGGGGCGGGCGGCTGGCTGCCTGCCTGGTCCGGCTTCCTTTCCCCTCCCGGGGAAACCGAAACAGCCCGCGAAAATAGCTTCAACAAAGCTCGGTTTTTGCTTTTTAAGTAATTACCAGGGCATGTTTTCCTTGACCGCTTGAGCTCTGGGGTCAAGGTGTTCTGTTTTGTTTTTCTCTGCATGCACAGAGCCGAAGGTTGCGTGTTGAGTACAAGCTGAATAAAATGGCTGACTAACATGGACGGGGCTGCGAAGAGGAAGGTGCTGAGTCCCAACAGGAGGGGAAGTGTTGAGCGGGCGGCTCCCGCTCCCCTTCCCCAAGCGACTCCCCGATCGCTTTATCGATTTTGAACGCCGTCAAAGCCCCCTTCGGGGGGGGCATCCCCTCACGCCAGCAACGCTTAAACCCCCCCCCCCCCCTCGGCCCCCTTTCTGCGGCGGGGCCCCGGCGCGGAGCCGCGGCCCCGCGGCGGGGAGAGGCGGGAGGAGGGGGCGGCGGACGCTTTTGGTTTCCATCTCCCTTTCTCGTTAATCACCTGACGTGGCACTTGTAAGTAATCCAGGGGAGGAGGACAGAGGGGTTTCTCGTCCTTAAAAGCCTGTGGAAAACCTGCCTCTGACAGTGGCACGTTTGCTTCTGGCAGAAGTTAAGATCCGCGCCCTCCCGCTGCCCTCCCCGGCTCTCACGCGCCAAGGGAACAGCAGCGAGGGGGAAAATCCGGCGCCTCAGCCCCCTTCTTGCTAACCGCCAGCTCCACAGCGCTTGGCGAGTTATCAGGCTGGTGCGCTCTACACACAACTGAAATAGAAAGTTTGTAAAGACCGCACAAAACAGAAGAATTTGTAAGTGATCTGTTGTTGCCCTTCAGTTAAAAGCGAGGATGAATACTCCCTTCCTTCCTACGTCTGGAGTATTACACGTTTGACTATTTCAGCAATGCTTCAATGAATGTTTGGGTTGTTTTTTTTTCCAGAAGAAGCCCTCTTTAGGACTTTTTTTTTTTTTAAAGGTAGAATTGTCTCAAAATTTTGGATCTATAAACACTTGCAACCTGAATGCATACTTTGTTCTCAGGCATATGTGTCGGTGAAGCATTAAAAAAAGGACTGTTAAATATATTTGGGGAACGCATATATGTGTGTTATGTGTGTATATATATATAAAATGTTTTTACAAGTCCCAAAGTTCAACAGAGGATGAAAACCAGGGCAGAGTCAAAATTCTGCGAGAAACTGAATTTCCGTATTTTTTATGTCTCACGTGGTTTTACCACACTTACTCACTTTTTTTTTAGCTGCAACATTAATATTGGCTTGGGTGGTTCTTCCCCCACCCCTGCCTCCTGAGACTATTCTCTTAAATTCTTCCCCAGCCCTCCTTAAGTGGATACTAATGCCTTGACTACTGCATTTGTTTTCTCCAGGTACTCATAGAGCACTCAGACATCCTCGAGCATTCAAGTTTAGTAAAAAGCCTTGAGCAGTAGGAGCCATCTGACTCCAGAAACGATGGAGGGGGCTGGCACGAAGCAGCTGATCCTGCTCCTGCCAGACTGATTCAGATGATGTTCTCTGGAGGCCGGAAGAAATGGGCTGGAGTGGAGGGTAGTAGGGAAGACATGTCTGCTTCAGTTGTAGCTCATGCATCTGTGCCCAGACGCAGTGCCAGCGCGTTGAGAGCCGCAGGCAGGCGTTGGGGGACGGGGTCAGCTCTGTGGAGAGCTGCACAGCACATTGTCTGTCGGAAAAACGGGGATGCTCTGCTCCTGCTGCAAAGAGGAGACGGCTACAGCTGCACCACGCATTTGTCACTGTTGCTACGGTAGCACGTAACACACCCACGCGAGCCTAGGAGCAAAACAGCGCACATGGGAAATTTCATACAACCAGGAGTCTTGGCGTGAGAGAGTGTTGCTCCGAGTCAGGTGCTGTCTCTTACACTACTGAACTGGGTTTCACAAATCCCCAAAAGATAACTCTCTGTGCATACAGTTCCCCTGGTGTTTTTTGGAGGTAGCTGTGCCATCTGGCTAGAGGTACATACATATATGTGTGTGTGTGTGTGTGTCTGCAAAACACTGTCTCGTAAAGCCTCTGCTTGCTGATGGTTTCAGGAAGCAGGATTGTGCAGCGCAAGGCGC